ATCAATTTTATACTTGTGTACTGATTATTTTATGATTGCTTTTTAATCCGAGCCTGATTAAAGCGTTCACTTAATTTTCGTGGAACACGAAAACTCACACTCTTAAGTAGCAGCAGAAAAATTTGCAAAGGTCCGATTTATTTCAGCAGAAATTACAGAATCGGTGTAACTGCAACGATCTAAATTAGGATACATAAAAATACATCATACGTCCGATAACTGGATCGTGTTTGTTGCTCGCCTGGTGCCCTTGTACGCCACCTTCGTTTTCCAGAACGACACAACATAATTATGCAAGTTGCTAATGCTCAAGCCGAAGAACACCGGGTCCAGTATGGGTTCCACCGAGTACAGTACGATCAGGGCGATCTCCAGTCTATCCGAGCGCATGGTGCGCACAAAATCCACGGCGATGTAGTACACCATAATTGGTATCCAGCAGACCGCCGCACTGCAGGTGATCATCGTTAATAGAATAAACGGCCGCAGTACATGGTCGCGCCGGCGCGCCAACTCGGTGCGGTTAACGATCGCTGAACGGCCGTGAATGGCATTGTTTCTTCGCAGGAATTTCCACAAGAGGATTGGGTAACAGACGGGGATAAAGAGTTTCGGTACGTCGAATACCCAGATGGACGAAAACAGCGAGAATCCCAGCTGTGCTTGTTTATTGAACCGACAAATCTTGGCAACCTAAAGACGCTAGCTATAAGTTTATATTAATACAAGTAACAATCTCGTACAAGAATCCCTAAAGCTGACGTGCACAATTTTGGACACTATTTTCTAATGCTCTGGTTCGTGAAAGCAATAGCCCAGTTGACCGAAACTGTAAAAACAAAGTCGATGCAAAAAAAACGGTTCTGACCGTAAAAACAACTTTCTGTGCGCCGCATGCGCACGATTTGTACGATTACAGAATCGTTTTATTACGCTTCAATTAAGCAATAATGCATGAAGGAAAGGGAATATTTTCGTAAAATGAATTTTACCACAAACATGAAAGTGCCGAAGTTGGATGCTGTATACCACATCATTATATCAGTTTTTTGACACCGTGGCCATGAAAAAGCATGCCCTGGTCTACGAAGCGTTCACATACTTGAACTGGGACTCGATAGTACAGCGCATCCAGTACAAGCCCGGGCAACTGACAAGCGTGAACGTAAACCACCATCCCGAGACACAACAGCCATGCCACCGTAAACGTGTGATTGTTTTTGTATGACACTGGCCAGAACAAGGCCCAGGCGCGGTTGACGCTGACCAGCACGTGGCTGTGGATGTTGATGGTGATCACAATGTATCGGCAATACAACTCTAGCGTACACGCTTGATCACCAATCCACCACTGCCCAAACGGCGCCATGATCATCATGATGTTGTTCAGTCCAACATACAGGAGGTTGCTGCATAATAAAACAATCACGTACACGTTGAACGGGGTACGGAGATTTTTCTCCTTAACGAGAATGATCAGTACACCGCAGTTCAGGATCAACGTGGCGGCTGTCATACCGAGCAGGCTGACAGAGGATCCATCGTGGTCGGTAAAAGATGCGTTACCGGCTTTATGAAAATGAAGGGTTGTATTATGCAAAGTACGAGAGCTGTTCGTGGTGATCATGTTGAACTTTTTTGTAATAAAATAAACTTGCATAAGACAACGGAATAAGAAATTAATGGTGATGGAGTATGCTTGTTTAAGCACTTCTTATTGCATTACGAGGAAGAAAGTTAGCTATTCACGGACTAATTTCCGGCGCAGAATAAGCGCTTTCCGGCGACGGATGTTTTCGACTTTGACGGTGACGCGGATGTAGGTGTTTGGGCTGGGCTTAATCCGCTTACTATTGCACGAAGTTTGTCTATCCACTGTGAAACCTGCTGCGTTCATTCTTCCCTGTTAAATTAGTTAGGCTACTGTGATAGGCTCCGCCTCTTTTACCAGCTTTTACCACAAATGTCCACGGGCCTACTTTAAGAATTAGTTTTGCATCGCCGCCGGTTGTCGTCAGTGTGTAACCCGCATTGTCAGATATGATTAAGGTAAGTGATTCCTGGATAGATTGATTTTCTGAGCCTCAGATCGGCGTCTGCTGGTAATTCACGGTATGGAGCCGGTGCACGTCATCACGTCGGGAAGAGTTACTTTCGGTTAGTGGCTTTAAAGAATAACATTTGCAAAATTTATTGCGAGACCGTTTGAAGAAAACGTACGAGGTAATTCTGGTACAACGCAATTGCATTTTGGCGACAAGTACAGACTAGCGTGTCATATTGCGAATGCTAAAGTTTCTCTAACCGATGACATATTTAGCTTGCAGCACGATCGAATAAACCGGCTGCAATGCCGCTCCCGTTGTACTCACGGCATTAACGTTTTATGCTCCCGTGAGCACGTTCGGAATTCTAACGAAAACTTTAGCCGATATCATGAAAAACAACCGACAGGGGAATCCGATTAGAAAACTTCGCCCTACGAGCAGATATAATCGCATTCTGTTTCCATGTGTCCAACGCGTCCACAAAAACTGCATTCAAAGCTTGCTGGGTGCTTTGCTGTCCAGTCTCTCCTGCTGTCGTTTCTCCCTGGATCATGCAAAGTTTCATCTGTGCAATATTTTCGCGGCGTGGCAGGTCGGTTAATTGTCAGCGCTTACCACTCCCGCCTCGGTTATAGCCGCGACCCGATGGGCGGCGACCAGCACCACGGGTGTATACACGAGTTGGTCGGGCCTGTGACCCAGGACTCTGATGTTGCTGCTGGTGTAACTGGCGCTCCACTTCCTTTTGGACAGCCGTCTGAAATGCTGCCTTATCGAAAGCACCACTTGATTGTTGTGGTCCCGAATGCTGATGCTGCACACCTTCCGGCAAATGTTTTTCATCTTTTAATTGGGTTTTCACGAGCGGGGACACTGCAGACACCAAAAGATTTCGTTTCATTCAGCATTATTGAGAATGCTGCATTGTTTGCCGGGCGTACCAAAGCGATTTAATGCGTTGGTTGGCTCGATGTTTATGACAATGTCCGCTTTGCTGGTGGTGCCCATAATTCCGGTTATGACTATATCGGTGCTATGATATTCTAAAGGATTTACAATCCTGCCGAAAACAGGTTGCGAAAAAATCAAATAATAAAATTGCTAAGTTGCTTTTGTTGAAATGGTACGTAGCATTGTAGAAATGCATTCGCGTCAATGGCCTAGACATTCCTTTTAGTGAAACGGCGGAGGCTTCAGATCTTATCTAACTATCAATCTGGTAACTGAACAGATGATGGGAGGAATTTCGAATAAGCGTAAATAAATCTAGGGGACCATGGTAAGAAAGTCGGATAGTTGAAACTGCTGTACCACTACTTTGGAAAACCTACGCTTCATGTACTAACTTGTAGAACTCTTTTCTTTTGAAATATGTTTCTTCTTTGTAGAACATTTCATCAAATATTGCCGCCCAATTGCGTCCATTGTCACATAACCCAACTGCGAGGACATTACTACGAAATGTGAGGTTGTAGGGAAGGGACCACATGACGATAACCGACACGCGCATTCCCTCCACACGCCATGCCACAGTGCCAGATGTCCCTGGATGAAAAAGCGCATACACGATTATTCTACAACCGGGGCCCATTCTGCTTGAACTGTTAATAAAAACCTACTAACTTATAAGGAGTAAAAGAAGTACCCAGATCAGTTCGAACAAGGTTTCAAAATTGCTACACTACACCCAACACGCGAGGCAAAACGAAAAACTAATGCGATACGTCTATCACATGGTGCGTGCTAACAGCACCAGCTCACCGCTTGTGGTGAATCCTTTTTTGTGCATCCTCATAATATCTTGCTGTCCAGGCTGGACGAGATTGATCACGGTTTCAATATGGCCATAATTAGGATGACAATTTTCCAGTTTCAGTGGCCATTTTGTATGATTGATCAGCTTGATTGTAGCCGCAACATCGTAAGACGATTGACTAGCACTTGTCTCTACGGCTACACTGGCTGCCGACGACATTTTGGTACTCTTTATGAAGAAGGCAACCGAACCGGAGGTGCACAACGGTCCTTAAGCGCAGTACCAAAAGAAATTTATTTGATTTTACTGTTATACAGAGTAATAGAGAGATGCTGGGTTGTGTGGGTCGTGATCTGCTCAAACCGTATGCAGTACGCCGGTCTAATGAGCTTAATTTTAGGCTTTTTCAAAGGCCGTTCGTTTTGCAGTGTAGAATTCCTAATTTGTGAATGCTGTTACGGTAGATAAGATAACGTTGTTCGCAATCTAAGTTACTACGTACTCGATGCACCATGCATACATAGCATGTTGCATCGAGTACGCATCGAGTATTGCCAGTCCAAATTTCTTTGTCCACTTCCGTCTACCAGCAGCACCTGCACCGCGGCATCTGCAACACTCAGTACCGCAATGCCACCTCACAGTCCGGCGCAGGTTTATTCCAGCTAATTCCACCCTGTTTTCCCGTCTCCTGGGATACCGCATGAAATCCTTACCGAAGTCGCCTACCGGTCCGCTTCGGTATTGTCGATTTGCAGTCACAATATATTAGGACATTAGGCAGCATTATTTTAGGTACTTGCAGCGATACGGCTGCAATACAATTAGCAGCGCGCAAACGACCGCGTCTTGTGAAAAATTCTACAACGTGCATGTATCACCAAGAGCTGAGCGCAGCAGTTTAATAGGCCTTATGCCGGAGTATTTCGCTGGCCACCGGAAGGTCACCACCCCTTTTGCATAACAACCGCCGGCCAACTGCGTGGAACATCACCCCTGACTCTCATTACTCACATGTCAGCAGCGGCTAACAAGAATTAATCCGTGTGAAGATGCTTTAGTTTGTTTCCTTCTTCCGTCTGCAGCCGGTTAGTTGAAAATGCAGTATGAATGACCGCCCTGGTCGGCGGAGCATCTGTACGGGCATCCTACGCCGATCAATAGAAAATTCGAAAAGCAGTTGAATCGAGTGCAGCTGATAAACTTGCCGTCGTCGGTACGGGCGGTGATAAAGTCTTACTTTTGGAACAGTACAGGGGGGAAACCAAATAATTTTCCAAGTCCTCAGACGGATAAATCAAGCTACCGGCATCCGGCAGCCTGTGCGAAACGCGGCAACTGCAGGGGGCTTCCCGGCAATCGGCATTCTGCCGGAATGCCGGAATAATAGACAGTATGGATTTTCGCGACCGTTTGCCGTCTTTTGGCCGGAATGTGGGTACGCATGATACATGGCATGACGCAAAAAGGAAAAGGTGCACGGCAGCCGCATGACGGAATGTCGGAGTGCCGGACAGCATGTGTTGCTCAGATACTGCTCATAATTATATTGCAGCCGTAGAATTATGTTCTACTGATTGTCATTGGTAACAACTCAACCGGAAACAGATGTACCGCCTTTCTCAGTAGAATTGTGAATGCATGGTATCGGTTACGAAGAATTCTGAGATGTTCTGACTTTTCTGGATGTGAAATCAGTAGACGTGCTCACGCTGCCTTGACCGGCAGACGGTTGACTTTCCCACATGTTCTTGCTCTTTCCCTTGCTCTAGCACTTGCTCCGATTCTGATTAAATTGATGATAATGTTTCTGAATTCGCGCGTTGCAAGAGATTGGTATTGAATTCCACAAAATCCCAGATTCAGAATCAGCGTAAAATTTTACTATGACTTTCTGTCTGTGAAAAGTTTGTAGCTTTTATGGAGCGTCCGTAAATCACCGTCATACGTTTACAACTTGATGGCCGTTTCGGCCATTGTAAGTTTTTTGTCTTTCGAAAAATATTAACGAGGTGTGACGGCAAAATAAATACTGAATTTTTCAACGTTGAGTCGCATCACCAGAGCAGTAATTGCTAGTATGTTCAGTGTAACAGACAAGCACGAGGAGATCACGAGTGATGCTTTATTGTACAAATAAAGGGGGAACAATGCTGCGTAATAGCAGGAAAGCAAGAACATAGCCGTGATGGCCAAGCAAGTGTGTGCTAGAAAAGCTCTTGAGCGTCCGTCAAGGCGTGAAAGAAGCAACTGGCGGCAAACACGTGCTGTGTGCCATCAGCTGTGTGATGATGCGCAGACTGGACTCTATCCAACGCGAGCGTATGAACGCTGAGTCATACTGCGAAAGAGGAACGAGAGAGCAAGTGTGGCTCAGTGTATGCGCTGCGTATATCCGCTTCAGCGGATGAGTGCAGTGCAGCAGCACACGTACGTACAGTGAGAGAGGTGGTAACGGCAAGCAATGGTGCAAGTACGTCCTGTGTGGACCGTACGCACCAGGCGCAGTCGTACGCCTCTGACATGCCTCTGGGCGGGAATCCGAGCTCCCGCGAAGGATGCTCCGACTCGGTACCGCACCAGTACCGCACAACTCTCCGGTTGGACCCAAGTGGGGTCGCCGGTACGCGTCCTCTGGCAGTGGGAGTCCGGTGTCTGGTCGACCGTCCCTTCTTCACTTCCGAACCCATGAGTGGAAGCCACTCACGGCCGAGAAATCCGGAAGCCGCTCGGGCGTTTCGTTGGACCGGTGATGCTTCTGTTAGCTGGCTTCTTGCGTCTGTTGGCAGCGGAGAACAATGTGAAAAGATAATGTAATGAAAGTTTATGCAGCGCGAAAGAAAGTGAATAAAGTTTAATCACAATTCCAGTGAGCAAAAGGGGTTATAAAACAGATCTGTCAAAGAGATCGAACTAGAAAAATACAATTCCGTTTGTTAGGAAAAATGCTAAAAAAAAATGCAAAAATCTGTCCGGGGGTCCTATTCCGACTAGGATGACGTCCACGGGGCAGTTGAGTCTCCACGGGGTCTCCTGTCCACTTTCATCCGGTAGAATTGGGTCCGGGGCATCAGTTCCCGGGTTACCCGTCGTAACCGGTTACATTCACCGAGGTCGGATAAGCACGGTTAAACACTTACTTCCGACTCGTATCCGTCCGTTCGGGATAGAGAGGCACTGTTGCGGATGCAAATGCCGAGGCATCCTCTCTGAATGGGGAATAGGACCGAGGTCGGTTTGACCAAGGTCGGCCTGCCGATAAGTCGATCGGTGGCTAAAGGGGATTCGGCTGTGTTCCGAATTCTTAAAGTTCAGGTCGGAAAAAGCTGTATGTAAGTCATGCGGCCTTTGTGGTCGTCATGTACAGCAGTTCCGTTTAAAAGTGGTCGGTTACAACCGTTTTAATCTGCTACCACGAGCCTGGTTTGGAGTAATCCGAGTCGAATTGGCTCGAAGGTCCGATCGGAAATCATGAGTTTGTTCGATGGAAGCGTCCGGTCGACTTCCATCCGGTATATTCCGTTGTTATCCGACCTTCTTTCGAGGTCGGTCATCCTATCCGTCGGTGGTCGACTAGGGTTAACCTGCAATAACATGCCCATGTGGGGCTAAACAAGTGCCTTTAGGTCGGATTCATCCACCGCGAACAGTGATCAATCGTCTTCGGTCATGCTGACTGGGTTTCCGACTTCCGACTTGTGGTCGGTTATGGTCGGCTTCGGCAGGTCGGATGAACTGTGTGTTCATCCGTCCGAAGGCTAAGTTTTCCGTCAGGAGGTCGGTTCTCGACTTCCAAATGCCTTTGCCGGCTTGTTGTCGTATCCTTCCGACTTCTATTCGGTCACTTCCGACCTTCATTCGAGGTCGGCGATCCATGTCGGGATTCCGAGGTCGGCTGATTTCCGACTTCTTCGAGTCGGATGAACTGTGTGTTCATCCGTCGAAAAGGCAAAATTCTTCGTCCGGGAGGTCGGTTTTCTACTTCTGATGGGTTTTCCGACCTGTTGTCGTGTACTTCCGACCTCCGTTCGGAAACTTCCGACTTGCTTTAGGATTTCTTTGCGTACGGCTACAGTCGACCGGGTTTCCGTTGTTCGGATATCCTACTGTCAGTTCAGACTGGCAGAAGGACATTCAGCAGCACAACTCCGTTTCTCCTGTGGCAACTTTTCCGACATGAACTTCTAGGTCGGATCCGAGCTACTGTTGGCTTGCTGATCCGAATGACTTGCCTCTGGGCCGCCGAGTCCTGCGAAGTAGGAGTTTCCTTGGCGTCTGTTGGCCAAGTGACTGGCGCTTCGTCATGCGATTGTGCTCGCTTACAACACTAAGGGTCTTTGTGGCCCCGGTTGACAAGCCAAGCTCTTTGGTTTAAAGCTTCATGCACATGCAAGTCCCTGAGGTTGTCAGATCCAGTTCTTCCATTTTGTTTTGTCGCGAACCTGAGACGCCTAGCCGCTTCTGTTGGGGGTAGACAACTCAGGTCCACGGGGAAATTTTCTTTGCCGGTGACGTTAGCCAACTGGCCGATAGTGTTACGGGCAGGTGGCCATCGTCATCGGGGTTCGTTAAGAGGGTGCCGACCGAGTATCCTAGCTCGGTCTGCCTAGGATGTTCCATTGAAGACATGGGGAAGCAGGTCGCGGCGGAGTCGTTGGTGTGGTGGCCAAATCACCGTCGCTGTTCCTCTTCAGGTAATGGCAGCACGTTCGAGACGCGCGTAGTCGTGGTCACCGGTGAATCGGCTGGTTTACCCGATATCGTCCGGGGGAGACTGCGGTTGGACTCCGGGTACAAGTTCCTAGTTGAGTTCCTGTAGGTCTGGGTTCAAACGGAGAATCCGGTTAAGTTACCACGTGGCTACTGCTAGCTTCCGTCCATTCTTCATGATCGACTTCTGTTGGCCGTTATGGTCGACCTGTGTGGTCGGCCATAATGTCGACTTCTCGTTAGTCGGTTACCATATACTTAGTCGATCTGTGTGATCGGCTGAGGTAGCGAGTCGTGGTTCGGCGATCTGCATCGTTGCGATTCCGACTTCAACTCTCTGAATTCGTTCCAAGTTTCCCAAAACCGATCTTTGTGATCAGCTTGCACAACCGACCTTTGTGGTCGGTTAGTGCCACGATATCCGTTATGTCTCCAAGTTATGGATGAAGTACAAAGTCGACCTTTGTGGTCGACTCAAGTACGTATAGTCAAATCCGAGTTTTTTTCTTGCACTGTTGGCAGCTCGGCCGAGGGATATCCGCTCTTACACTGGTGAAGGCTGCTCGGCTACCCGGTTCCGATGTTGGCCACGGGTGCTTGGCGAACATGGTGTCAAGAACGTGACAACGTTTTTGACACCATGTTAGCGTAATCCTC